TGGCAAACTCACAGGAAAAGGGGAGTTTGTCACACAGGCATATTGCACAGTCTGTTGCTCTACATAATTAATTTTCAGCATTCTCAGAGTGTAATGGTGTTATGGAGACAGGCTGAGGCACCAAGTATAGTGGTGTTATGGAGACAGGCTCAGGCACTGAGTGTAGTGGTGTTATGGAGATAAGCTCAGGCACTGAGTGTAGTGGTGTTATGGAGATAAGCTCAGGCACTGAGTGTAGTGGTGTTATGGAGATAAGCTCAGGCACCGAGTGTAGTGGTGTTGCGGAGGCAGGCTCAGGCACTGAGTGTAGTGGTGTTGCAGAGGCAGGTTCTGGCACTGAGGGTAGTGGTGTTGTGGAGACAGGCTCAGGCACTGAGTGTAGTGGTGTTGTGGATACAGGCTCAGGCACTGAGTGTAGTGGTGTTGTGGAGACAGGCTCAGGCACCGAGTGTAGTGGTGTTGTGGAGACATTCTCAAGCACCGAGACTATGGTGAGGTCTAACAGAAAGCAGTCGTTGTTGGGGGATTCTATCATAAGAGGTGTGGAGCTGGACAATAGTGGATGTCTTCCCAGAGACAGGAGACGTATTTGTAATATTGTTAAGTGAGCAAAGCAGGAAGGGGAATTGGATGTACTTGTCCATCTAGGGACACATGACTTGGCTTGCAATGAGGTTTCAGAGGTAAGGGACTTTTTTGTGTTTTTGCCAATGATATATGGCAGGTTTCTTCCACACTGTCATTCTCTGAAGTTCTGCCTGTGCATAACACTCAGCACGACAGGCGGATGTGTATTAATAACTTTAACTTGTGGCTTGGTGAATAGTGTCGGGAGCAAGGATTTGGCTTCATTTCTCATGGGAGCTCTGTGTGGAATGGAAATAAACTGTACAAAAAAGATGGCTTGCATCTTTCTCAAAAGGGAACAAATGTTCTCAGTGAGCAGTTCAGAGGTTGTGCCAGGATGTATTTAAACTGGGGGGGGGCACAAAAGGTTGATAAAATATCAATCCAATTGCCCCCCAAAACAAGGACAGAATGTGCCTGTAGCAAGTGTTTTAAAAAGTATAAGGTTGGAGTCATGTCTACAAATGCTCGCAGTTTAGGGAATAAGATTCATGAACTTGTGGCAATAATGGCAACTGATAGTGTAGATTTAGTCGCTGTTACTGAGACATGGTATAATGAGAAAAATGACTGAGACATAGCAATACCAGGGTACTCTTTATATAGGAAAGATAGGGAAGGCAAGAAAGGGGGAGGGGTGGCCCTGTATGTGAAGGATAGCATAAAATCTAGCCTAATAAAAGTTAGTGAGGCAAACATAGAGTCCGTTTGGGTTACGTTCGAATTTGGTAATCACACAGTAACTCGTGTAGGTGTGATTTATAGGCCCCCAGGACAAATTGAAGAGTTAGATTATCTACTAGTTGAGGAAATAGCTAAAATGACAAGGAAGGGGGGAAGTTATCATCATGGGTAACTTTAATCTTCCTGATGTGAACTGGAAAACCAAAATAGCTGCTTGTGCCAGGAGCACACATATTCTAAACTCCCTACTGGGATTGTCTCTAAAACAAGTTGTTGAAAAGCCAACTCGTAAGGATGCCATACTAGATTTAGTGTTAACAAATGGAGATTTGGTATCAGATGTTACTGTAGGTGAAAGTTTAGGATCCAGTGATCATCAGTCAGTGTGGTTTAATATAAGAACAGTGACTGAGTCACAACACACAAAAACTAAAGTTTCAGACTTTGGAAAAACAGACTTTTCTAAAATTAGAATATGTGTAAAGGAGTCATTATCAGACTGGAGCAATTTAAATGGAGTCCAAGAGAAATGGGATTATTTAAAAGTTGCACTGCTGAAGACAACAGAAAATTGCATTAGGCTTGTCAGTAAAAGCAAAAAATTCAAGAAACCACTGTGGTACTCTGCAGATGTGGCCAAAATAGTAAAAAACTAAAAGTTAGCATTTAGTAATTATAAAAAACCCCAGAGTGAGATAGATAGACAGATCTATAAGATAAGGCAGAAAGAGGCTAAGCAAGTTATAAGAGCTTCCAAATCGCACACAGAAGAGAAAATAGCACAGTCAGTAAAAAAAGGGGACAAAACATTTTTTAGATACATAAATGGGAAAAGGAAAGTAAAACAAGGATTAGTTAGATTAAAAACAAAAGAAGGAAGTTATGTAGAAGAGGATAAACTTCTAGCTGACTGCCTCAATTAATATTTTTGTTCAGTATTTACAGATGAAAATGAAGGAAAGGGACCTCAGTTAAGAAAAAGGACAAATGAGTCATTTGTTACATGTGCGTTTACAGAGGAAGAGGTTCTATTTCAACTGTCAAAAGTAAAGACAAATAAGTCAATGGGACCTGATGGAATACACCCAAAGTTATTAAAAGAGCTTAGTTGTGTATTAGCAAAAACATTAACAGATTTATTTAACCAATCATTGTTAACAGGAGTAGTCCCAGAAGATTGGAAGTTAGAGAATGTTGTGCCCATTCACAAGAAAGGTAATAGGGAGGAGTCGGGCAACTATAGGCCAGTAAACCTTACTTAAGTAATGGGAAAAGTGATGGAAACCATTTAAAGGATAGGATTGTTGAACATCTAAAATCACATGGATTTCACGATCAGACACAACCCGGGGTTACTTCGGGGAGATCATGCCAAACTAATCTTATTGATTTTTTTGATTGGGTAACTAAAATAATAGATCATGGTGGTGCAGTAGACATTGCTTACCTAGATTTCAGTAAGGCTTTTGACACTGTTGCACATAGAAGGCTTATCAATAAACTGCAATCTTTAAGGTTGGATTCCAATATTGTTGAATGGGTAAGGCAGTGGCTGAGTGACAGGCAACATAGTTGTAGTCAATGGAGTATATTCAAAGCATGGTCTTGTTACCAGTGGGGTACCTCAGAGATCTGTAGTTGGACCCATTTTCTTTAATATTTTTATTAGTGATATTGCAGAAGGTCTTGATGGTAAGGTATGTCTTTTTGCTGATGATACTAAGATATACTAAGATATGTAACAGGGTTGATGTTCCAGGAGGGATAAGCCAAAGGAGACAAATACATGTCAAGTAGAGTTGAGCAAACCCAAACTGAAAAGTTCGGGTTCATACCGAACATTACGTTTTTTTGGACCCCGGACCCGAACATGGACATATCACTGTATGTTCGGGTTGGAGTTCGGAGTTCGATGATTTAATGACGGGTTTTGAAAGGCTGCAGGGCAGCCAATCAACAAGCGTTTGACTCATGTGCCCTTAGAAGCCATCACAGCCATGCCTACTAATGGCATGGCTGTGATTGGCCAGTGCAGCAAGTGACCCAGCCTCTGTGGCTGCTCACTGTTAAAAAAAACAAAACACATTCCCCCCTCCTGAGCCCCCACCCGCAACGTGCGAGTGGGGGATTTTAAACTAAAGGGGGGCCTGTTGCCCCCCCCGGCCACCACCCCTGAGCAGCGGGTGGGGGCCCTAAATACCAATAAGGGGGGGACCTATTGTCCCCCCCTGGTCCCCACCCCTGAGCGGTAGGTGGGGGCCCTAAATAACAATAAGAGGGACCTTCTGTCCTCTCCCCGCCCCCACCCCTGTGCGGGCCCTAAATAACAATAGGGGGGGACCTATTGTCCTCCTCCTGGCCCCCACCCCGAGCGGTGGGTGGAGACAATAAATAAAAATCTGAGGAGGACATAATGTCCGGCCCCCACCCCTTGAGCGGTGGGTGGGGCCATAAATAAAAATTGGGGGGGGCCTAATGTCCTCCCCCCTGGCCCAAACCCCTAGTCACCCCCCCTCACAAAAAAAAATAACCTCTGCCTACCACCCTCACCCTAAAAATAATGAGGGGGGGCATTAACTAAGTACCTGTTAAAAAGATAGAATAAAACTTACCATTTGATGTTTTCTTTCTTCTAAAATCTTCTTTTTTCAGCCCCAAAAAAGGCCAAATCAAAATCCATAATAACCGAGGCACTTAAAAAAAAAAAGCGCAAAAAAAATAATCCAACTTCACCCATAGAGGGCTCCGCGCAGACTGAGCTCTGAAGAGCGGGGTAAGGCTTATAAAGCCTTCCCCTGCCCTGCAATTAGGCTCAAAGCACTCTGATTGGTGGGTTTAAGCCATCCAATCAGAGTGCTCTGACAGGTAAATGAAGAGACTGACAGGTAAGTCTCTTCATTTACCTGTCACAGCACTCTGATTGTTTAGCTTGAAATCCACCAATCAGAGTGCTCTGTGTCATTTTACACAGCGTGGGAAAGTTCTTTGGATTAAGTAACCAATCAGAGTGCTCTGTGTCATTTTACACAGCATGGGAAAGTTCTTTGGAACTTTCCCACGCTGTATAAAATGACACAGAGCACTCTGGCTGGATTTCAAGCTAACCAATCAGAGTGCTCTGTGTCATTTTACACAGCGTGGGAAAATTCAAAGAACTTTCCCACGCTGTGTAAAATGACACAGAGCACTCTGATTGGTTGCTTAATCCACCAATCAGAGTGCTGTGACAGGTAAATGTAGAGACTTACCTGTCAGTCTCTTCATTTACCTGTCAGAGCACTCTGATTGGATGGCTTAAACCCACCAATCAGAGTGCTCTGAGCCTAATTGCAGGGTGGGGCAAGGCTTTATAAGCCTTCCCCACCCTACAGAGCCTGGGGTCTGCAGCGGAGCCTCCTGGGTGAAGATTACAGGTTTTTATGCTTTTTTGTGTCGGTTATTATGGATTTTTATTTGGCCTTTTTGGGGGGTGAAAAAAGAAGATTTTAGAAGAAAGAAAACATCAAATGGTAAGTTTGATTTATTTTTAATTTTTTTTTACAGGTACTCAGTTAATGGTCCCATCCTTATTTAGAGTGAGGGGGGCAGGTAGGGGTTAATCTTTTTGGGGGCCAGGGGGGGAGGACATTAGGTCCCCCCCTTATTCTAATTTAGGGCCCTCCCCCACCGCTCAGGGGTGAGGGCCAGGGGGGAGGACATTAGGTCCCCCCTAATCAGGGCCACCATCAGAAATTTTAGGGCCCCTGACAGCTCAAGATCTGGGCCCCCTGGGCCACCCAGAGTCCACCCACAAGGATGAAGTGTGTGTGTAGTGGATGTAGAATGAGTGTCATGGATAAAGTGTGTATAGTGGATGTGGTATGTGTGTCATGGATGCAGTGTGTGTATAGTGGATGCAGATTGTATGTTTTGTGTAATGTATGTAATGTTTGTATGCATGCATTAGATGCAGAGTGTGTGTGTGTAGTGAATGTAGAGTGTGTTTTTGTAGTGGATGTAATGTGTGTACAGTGAATGCAGTGTGTATTTTTGTAGTGGATGTAGTGTGTTTGTAGTGAGTGCAAAGTATGTATAGTGATTGTAGTGAGTGCAAAATGTGTATAGTTCATGTAGTGTGATTGTAGTGAGTGCAAAATGTGTATAGTTTGTGTAGTGTGATTGTAGTGAATGCAAAATGTGTATAGTTCATGTAGTGTGATTGTAGTGAATGCAAAATGTGTATAGTTCATGTAGTGTGATTGTAGTGAATGCAAAATGTGTATGGTGAATGTAGTGTGATTATGGTGATTGCAAAATGTGTATGTGAATGTAATGTGATTGTGGTGAATGCAGAGTGTGTATAGTGAATGCAGTGTTTGTAGTTAGTGCAAATTGTGTTTAGTAAATGTAGTGTGTTTGCAGTGAGTGCCACATGTGTATAGTGAATGTAGTGTGTGTGTGTGTAGTGCAGTGTGTTTAGAGAATGTAGTGTGAGTGGGTAGTGCAGAGTGTGTTTAGTGAATGTAGTGTGCGTGTGTGTAGTGCAGAGTGTGTTTAGTAAATGTAGTGTGTGTGTGTAGTGCAGAGTGTGTTCAGTGAATGTAGTGTGTGTGTGTGTGCTTGTAAGGCTGCAGTGTTTGTGTAAAGTAGGGGGGAGGAGAGTATTTAAAAAAATAAAAAATATTTGTGTATATTTAAAATTTAAATTTTATTCCCCCCTCCCTGGTTCTTACCTTGCCAAGGAGGTGGGAGATTGCATTCCCTGGTGGTCCGGTGGAGAGAGCCAGCCGCGTTACATTGCAGAGGGGGCCCAGCAGCACACACTGTCTTCCTTTCCAGTTCCTCTCTGACGAACTCTCGCGAGACCGGCCAGCATGCTGTGCGGAGCGTTGCCATGGTAACCTGTGGCAACACTCTGGCGGCCGCAGGAGAGTTAGAAAGAGAGGAGCTGGAAGGAGGACAGAGTGTGCTCCTGGGCCCCCCTCTGCAATTTACAGGTAGGGGGGGCCCTCAGTGCACAGATATATATCGAAATTCGCTATATATCTGTGCACATAAGGAATGTGGGGCTCAGACTGCCAGAGCAGTCCGGGCCCCCCCAGGAATGCCAGGCCCATGACAACCATTATGGTTGTCATGCCCCGATGGTGGCCCTGCCCCTAATTGGTATTTAGGGCCCCCACCCACCGCTCAGGGGTGGGGGCCAGGGGGAAGGACATTAGGTCCCCCCAATTGGTATTTAGGGCCCCCACCCACCGCTCAGGGATGGGGGCAAGGGGGGAGGACATTAGGGTCCCCATCCACCGCTCAGGGGGGAGGATATTAGGTCCCCCTCTTATTCTAATTTAGGGCCCCCACCCACCGCTCAGTGGTGGGGGTCAGGGGGGAGGACAATAGACCCCCCTTATTCTAATTTAGAGCCCCCACCCGCCGGTCAGGTGTGGGGACCAGGGGGGAGGACAATAGGTCACCTGCCTTTTTTACTTTAGGGCCCCCACCCGCCCTTTAGTTTAAAAGCCCCCACTCGCTCAGGAGGGGGGACCCTTCTGCTCACTGTTTAATAGATATGCCCCTACTCGCGGTATATCGAGTAGGGGCAAAATTTACTAATACCAAGTAATTTTTACTTAGTATTAGTAAATTTGGCTGAAAGACCAATTTAGGTATTTTTTAGCCTTTTGATAGATAACTCCCTAATACCGTGGGAATTAGGGAGTTATCTACT